TGGGGTCAACTTAAGGTGGACATTTTAGAAACTTTAACTTTTGGCACTTGTATGTTGGCTTCATTTTTCACTCCTAGAGGCTGTGTGTTTGTTATAAACACAACCCAACCGGTCATGGCAGATGGTTGATACTCCCTGAAGTCTTCAGCTGGAGGTTTGTTCCTGCTAAAAGGGAGTTTTTCCTCCCTACTGTCACCGCCTGCTTGCTCATAGGGGGGTTGTCTGATTGTTGTTGTTTTTTTCTGAATTATTGTAGGGTCTTTAACGTACAATAGAAAGCACCTTGAGGCAAATGATGTTGTGATTTAAGAAAATGTAATAAAATTCACTTGAAAGTAAAGCATATTGGCCCAATAGGGGGGCGGGATTTGCAACACAGGGGATTCTTCTTCTTCATCTCTCTCTTATATCTCTGGCTAGAGCTATAGAAAATTTGAGGCCTCATTTGCCCAGTTTGTGAAGCTGGAGTGACAAAGACTGTTGGAAGCCATTGGAGGCCATCTGTTTTATTTGTGCAGACTGTGTCAGTGCATACTATAATGTGAAACTGTAACTCATCGCATCAACGTCTTTGCACCAATGTCACTGAGACGATCCTTGCTGATTAGATTAGACAAAATTGGAGTGACCCCTTGGGGAACATTTGTGGCACTCACAAACGAGACACAGATATAAACACAAGAGACATAATTTAATGATTGACACAAAAAGTCCATCAAAGCTACATTTAGATCTGTAGCTATGATGTTGTGATGGGTATGGAGGAACGTACGCTGTGAGGCAACGACTGAGATTCAGACTCTTGAGCTTGAAAAGGAGGCAACTGGATTTCTTAACATGTTTGAAGACATTTTGAAGACATCTAAAACGTTTCTTCAGTTCTAAAACAAGTGGCAGAGAAACCCAGGTAATAAACCCTTAAAAGGTGTCCTGACCCTCTTGGATAAGAGGTTAAATGTGTTCAAAAACCTAGAGAAGGACAGTTGCCTTCTTTTTAGGCTCTCAAGACTGCCATGGCCTGGATGACTCAGAGCCTACACAGACATTCAGGCTTGGCAAACATGCAGCTCAAAGAATAAGCAAATGTTAAGAAGCATACACTGAATCCTGTTATCTGTGTTGTGCTGTAGTATCTGTAGGTGGCACGTTCTATAGGATTATCAGCTGAGAGATTATGTAACAAACTGGGAGCCTCAGATCAGAAAATGCCTGGGGACATAGGCCTGTAACTGAAAAACTTCAGGGCTTTCCTGCTTAGTTAGTGATCACATGTCTAGAGCAGTGCCTAGAGCTTTGAATTCAACAGCAGAAGATCTGGTTCACTGCTTGCTCAGTAATAAAAGGCTAGAGTGCATAAGCTGACCCCAGGGTCTGATGATCTCATTCAGCTAACTTCATTTTAGTCTTTTGATAGTGTGCTAATAACTGGTTTTGGAGCAAGTTAGTCACAGAGATATAAAATCATTCATCAGTCTCCAGTTATACTCTAATAATTTAGTTAAGCTGTTATTGTTGCATTTTTTTTGTTTTGTTTATTTTGTCTACTGAATGTCAAACAAGTCTGATTCATGTTTTATCCAGAAGCTTTTATCCAGGAGTCAATTTGAGGGGATGAGTTACAGGCATGCTTTTTCTCTGCCTTTAAATCCCTAATGAATCCTGGCAACGTCGGCTGCAGCTGGTCTGCAAAGTGCAGATTTCTCAGAAACGGGAGGCATATGCAGTGTGGAGCAGTGCCAACAGTTTTACAGTGTTGTTGAGGCACAGCAGGGCAAAAGGTGTTTGCAAAAGGATGTTAATCATCGCCCGAGTTGTTCTTATATATTTCTCACGCTCATTGTGAACATATATCAACTCAGTCGGGAAGTTGCTTGACACTTTGCTGCTAATTTAATATTTCCATCACCAGTGCTGCAGCAGACCTCCTGCAGAGAACCACTGCAGGGCAAGCCCAGGTCAGCATGCAGGTCCAGAGACTGATTACTCAGCTCTCTGGAGCTCAGCCACGTGCAGCTCCACCCTCCTTCAGCTTCTCCTCATCGTCAAGCACCCATCTGATTATCTCTGTTTTGTCAGCGATGCCTTCCTTGCATGTGGCTGGCTGTGACCCTGCAGAAAGATATAAGCTCCCTCTGTTCTGCACTTTCAGTACCGAATCTCAGCAGCAGGTCATTATGCTGAACACCATCGCTCCCAGCCAAGCGCT